TTCACGGGTGGGCGATATAGAATACAGAGGTGAAAATATTTAGCAATTCGTGGTGTCTGGGCTTGTCTTGGTGTTTGAGGTCCTGAACGAGACGTGCTGAGTTTGGATTTCGAGCGGTGTGTTGCACCAGCAATACAACCACTGTACTAACTACTACTACTACTACTACTACTACTACTACTACTACTACTACTACTACTACTACTACTACTACTACTACTCCTCCAACTCCTACTCATACTCCTACTCCTACTCCTATTACTCCACCAATACGACTACTGTACTCTACTCCTACTACTGCTACTACTCCTTCCTTCCTTCCGTGGCGCAAACGTTCGAGAACGTCTTTGCGTGGCTTGGCTAGGGCAAGTCTTGGACTTGGCCATCTTCAGACAGCTGAACCCTCTGCTGATGCGAGTTGCATTTCAGCGAACATTAACAATTGCGACAAAAAACATGCAGTCGGGAGAATGGGCACATTGTCCGGGCCGATAGCCCCCTTGAGCAACAGTGTAGCCCTGCACCCCAATTGTTTCGACAACTTCTTGATGACTGAGCATAATTGAAAACATGTACACTATACAGAAACCACTTCCTAACGCTCACCTCCGCTCAATGCTGCAGCAGCTCATGCCAGGCACTTGGTAGTAATCGTTTGCAATTGCAATTGGAGAGGAAATGCCAGATGAAGCATCACCATTTGAGCACGTGCTTGTAAGCATCACATCCTGCAAGGCATTGCCATGAATGAAATGATATATCCACTGAGCTATGAAAGCGTTCACTGTGCTCCTGACACAACCTGGTGCGCGATTGACCTCAGCACTGCAACTGTGATATGGGCTCAGGAATACAAAGGAATACAAGTTCCCACATGGTTGCAGCTCAGCCAAATTTTGCGTAGGCAGCAGCATAGCGGTAAGAACATGGGCACAGCTCTATGCTTCCCATGCGCCCAGACGAAAACCCATTTGCTGAAGCATTGCTTTATCCACCCGGCTTAGATTTTCCATCATGCCGATGTGGAAGGCAATCATGACACATCTGTCACCATCCCATGGAAGCGTTGCATGAACTCTTCTTGGTGAGAATGCTACTGGCCCATTGGCTGGGATAATGTGGCCACTTGGCCCAGACGCGGCTAGCTGGTGGTGCCCATCAGGATGCTCAAGAAAAAGCTCCCCGCCAGTGAATGTTGAAAAAGGCAACATCATGTTTCGAGACATTCTGTGATTGTAGCTGTCTCGATGCGGCCTTGCGCACAACTTCACCGACAACGTTACTGTGGAGAACTCCAAGGTGTCATCCCATGTCGCCATGATGCCACTTAAGAGTCTGGCTGTCCAAGGGAATTGTTGCGCATGCACATTCACCCCATTCATGGGGCCCCTGACCCATGCTCCTATGGTGAAGCGCTTCGGGGCAGTGCTGAGGGGGTTGGTATCCTGAGGCCAACGCAGGCTTTTGTCAGCAGGCAGCATGTCAAGGAGACGCTGCAATTGACTCCACGTGACCTGACCACACGCAACGAGGCCACACGACCTGGCTTCAGCATGACTCTGCTCTGGGATGCCGAGTCCATCAACGTTGACTCCCCTGATCAGGTAAATTCCTTGTTGATAGAACTCATACTTCAAGTCAGCTTCCACCGGGAAAAGTGCACGTGTGCCAGCCATGAAAATGCCATGATGCACATGCGGTTCACGTACAATGGCAATCGGCGAATCAGCATCCAGCTCCTCTTCCGCTTCGCTCATATCTGCGGTTTCCGTGACGTTGCTCATGCCGCCACTCTACAGAACAAGCGCTGCTTCACCGCGCAAGGAGGCGGATGTGTCTATGTTCACCCTGATGCGTAGAGCCATGAAATAGCGAACATGACAATCAGCATCTGCGCTAGACGGGGCCCTTGAGGGCACAGGTTGGTGACGCAGATGGGGGCGTTGTCAGAGTCCGAGTGAGGATCCGACTCTTGTGCCACCAGATATGGTCCACGCGCTCGAGCAGTAGAGAACCTGAGCACCTGAGCACAGACGGTACAGCCACAATCCCTATTGCACAAAGGATCCAGGTAGTGGTGATCATGCGCTTTCGGTACTGCATGCAGCTTTTGCTGTTGATCGTAGTCGCGGCTTCGCGCAGGGATCCCTTCAGGAACAAGTGGTGGCGCCATAGCCGCCCCGATAGGACCAAGCACTATGAAAAAGCGCACCACATGCAGGGCAAGCCTTGTCCAAGTATACTTGGCTAAACGTGCTTCCGATGTCGCAAACGTGCAAGAGCACCTACGACTGCCGGCAGCCATAACGCTGTTGTCGCGTGCAGGTATGCAGGCATTGTCTATATTGTGCTCATCCGACATTCAGCTCCGCAGCGCATCTAGCCAATCTGCTTTTGGATCAAATTGGCCAGGGCCGAGCGTCCGGGTCTCTCCCGACGCATGCTGACTCCGATCATTTGTGTGGCTGCCAAGCCGCTCAGGAGGTCCATGTGCTCACGAATGGATTTGGCGGCATCGCCCAAAATTGAAATCTGCATGGAGAAGGTCAATATTTTGCCTCCCATCCTTTCCTCCATATCCCTGGAGGGGTGGAATCTCGTGATGGCGCCAGCGGTATTGGCTAGCTGCTGCATCGCGGCAGCAATTGCAGCGACGCGTTCGAAGGCGATGGGCTCCTTGTCCGGGATGAGGCAGAGTCTCTCCACATCCGGGTTCCACTGAACGTAGTTCCAGGAGAGCGGCTCTTTGTTCATCCACCCAAGCTTCGTCAGAGATGCCATTTGCTCCTCATTCGTTGGAATTTGCGCTAAGCGGTTCCCAAATTCTTTGAACAGGGCTTTGACCAGGTCAACTCGCATCGGAGCATTGAGTTTCTCCGGATGAGAAGCCTTGATCTCACGCCAGCTCTGCTGCATGGCATACAAGCAAGGGACAACGCTGGCCTTCATGTCCAACTTCATGAACATAACCCACGCCAACTCCGACTTGATGCAGCTGCTAAAATCCTCTTGGCGAAGAGCCATGCGCTGGAGCGCAAAGACACTGTCCTTCAAGCGGTCAATTTCTTCCTTGAGGGCTTTGGTGGTTTTTGCTACTACTCCTACTCCTACTCCTACTCCTACTCCTCCTCCTACTCCTACTCCTACTCCTACTCCTACTCCTACTCCTACTCCTACTCCTACTCCTACTCCTCCTCCTACTACTCCTACTCCTCCTCCTACTACTGCTGCTGCTGCTACTACTGCTGCTCCTACTGCTACTACTAGTACTACGACGATTAATTCTACGACTGCTGCGACCACGACTACGACTGCCGCTACTACTACTACTACTACTACTACTACTACTACTACTACTACTACTACTACTACTACTACTACTACTACTTCCACTACTACTTTTTCTTCTGCTGCTACTGCTAACGCTATGGCTACAGCTACTGCTACTACTGCTACTGCTACCGCTACTGCTACTACGTTTGTACTACGACTATTACTACGACAAAACTACTACCACTACTACTGCTACTACTACTACTACTACCACTACTACTACTACTACTACTACTACTACTACTACTACTACTACTACTACTACTACTACTACTACTACTACTACTACTACTACTACTTCCACTACTACTTTTTCGACGACGACGAAGACTACTACTACCACTACTTTATTGACCCTACTGCTCCTACTGCTGCTGCTGCTGTTTCTGCTGCTGCTACTGTTACTGCTACTGCTGATGCTACTATATACTGCTTCGGCTGCTGCTGCCGCAGCTGTTTTTGCTCTTAGTGGAGCTGCTTACACTACCAGGGCGACCTCGGCCTCTACGTAGCCATGAGTGCGGTCACGGGTTCGACTATGACAGTGACAACAACTACTACTGCTAGTTGCGGGCAAACCCGTGGTTAGCTTGGTGCATCAGGAGGACTGGAGGACGAGAACAAGGACCATTTTCCACAGATGAATTTTCGACCGCAGGTGATGCTCGAACATTTCGCATAGGTTTCATTGTTGGCCCTGACTGCTCCTCCGAGCATAGGGAGAAGGGTTTCAGGAAGCCTGCAGAGCCGTGGGTTTCGGGGTTGAAGATCATATAACTTAATGTCCTGGGCCCCTGCACCGGTCCGCTTGTAACGATGACTCGGACCTTCGCTGTTTAGCGCGGATGGTGGCTGTCAAACAGCTATCCCTATAGCACGACCCAAAATGGGTACGTCTGTGAGCGGTGTGTCAGGCATACCGAATTTTCGCTTGTGGGTGCGTGCTTGTAAGCAGTGTGAGGAACAGGGCCAGGTGGTGCTGCTTGCTGGGTCGCAAGGACGAGTTGCAGGGAGTCTTAGCCTGTGTATGACGATCATCTCGCTGTACATTGATGCATTTTCTCGGAACATCGACTGAAAGGGTGCAGTTGCGAATGTGCTCAGCCGAGTGCTCGGCTCAGCAACAACACTTCCTTGCCAGAACGCTCTTGCACGTAGCATTTTCCACCAAGCTGCAAGCAGTGTATTGATGCTTGGATGCGCAGACAAAAGGTCTACGAGTTGCGACGTGAGCGAGGGAGGGATGCAAAGAGGCAGGGGAGAGAGAGGACAAGAGAAATGGAGTGACAGAGTGCGGGGACATACAGATCTCTCTCGGGGGACTCCTTGCGATTTCAAATTCCTGCAGGTGCACGGGTGGGCCAAGTGCCCGACTGAGACAGGGAGAGAGAGAGAGAGAGAGAGGCTTGGAAACTCAGGCCTCGCCCGGTAGTTCGTGCCGATTTCTGAGAGCCCTAACGCCGGCCACGCCAGCAAACAGGGGGTGAGAAAGGGGAAGGAAGGAAGAGCGAGAGAGAGACAGTTGGAGATGAGGATACGCTCGACCACAACCCAATACTGGATTACCACATTAGTTACATTTCAAGCTTGATAGACAGACCAGGTAGACGTGCTTGAGATACAGTTCCCCTATTTGGATAACTCCGGTTCCAGCTTACTCATCTGAGGCATATCCTCGTCGTGCACCCTGCCCTGCCAACACTCTGGCCGGAAAGGCGAGCAATCAGCCATCGCTCCAATCCTGCTTGGCATGGCATGGCAGCCCTCAGCAGCTCTAAATTTGTTGCTGTTGCCTTGCTAGGTACAAATACCAGCGGACGAGTCTCGAGGATGCGCCGAGCTCCAACCTCTTGGACACTGGTCACCAAATGGTGTAGAAGTCCACATCTCAAAGATCTCTGTACAGCATGCCGTAGAGCACTGCATGAGTAAGTATAGGCATTACCGTATGTTTCACGAAAATGTTGCCCCAAACGCTTGTTTTAAGTACCATGGCCCTGAGGGTCGGTATTTGCCTGTATTACTTCGACTTGTAGCTCGCTACAGCTCGGAACTTGCGGATGCCCATGGATCTGTACTTTGCACACTGCCGGAAGAGTGCTGTTATGATTGAAGGCAGTCACACTTCTAGGCGGCCGCGGAGGCTTGAAACCCCACTCCACGGCCGCAGCGAGTGCTGTCAGAGGTCTGAGTTCGACCCAAGGCTCCAACTCCAACGCTTCACGCAGGTTTCACAGCCGTGACTGAATGCTGCCAGTTTCAGTATCGCAAAACTCTCAAGGCTCAGAGGCCTTGAACAGAAGCCCTGCTCGCAAACTCTGGACTGAAGTCAAGGAGTTGCTGCCCAACTCTCTCCGCTTCGTGGAGCGATGCATGAAGCAGAAAGGCCACATGGAGACCAGATGAAGAAAGCTAAGGTACATGCTATACTCGGAATCTTCAGGATTTCGTTGCGTAGGAGGTCCAGTGTTTTCGTAAACTTACAGGACTTGGCTTGTGTCCTGAGATTCGGGAAGGCGTTATGGCCGTCTACGTCTAGGCTACAGCTCCGCAGGCAAGAGCGCAGTATGTCCTTAACATGGGGGCTTCGTATGTGGAACAGGGTTTTTTTAGGTACAGTCTAAAATAACCTATCTTGAATAGTACACGGACTTGCTAAGTAGTCAGGCCGCTATATGACTCCCTGAACAGTCAGATGAGTTTCGTCATCCTGGAGATTCACACATGGACTTGGACAAGCCACCCCTTGCCTGGCGTGGCAATGTGTGAGAGTCACAAGACGTCAGTGCTTCCGATCTTGCAAGAAGGGCCTCATCTAGCTGGTCCGAGAGCATGCGCATGAACCTTGTGCGAGGTGCGAGCCTCAACACGCGCATGTTAAGGAGCTCGAGCCTGTCAACATGCAAAATCGGAGACTGCAAATCTTGGGAAGTTGAGACGTCGGCTGTATTTCAGCTCCGTGCTACGGCAACCTACTAAAATGTGAATGCAAAGTGTATGTACATATGTATTCCTGTATGCAGGTTCGTATAGGGAGGTAGGCGGGCAGCCTTCGTTCTTCCAGAGTTTAAGCTTTCAAGTCGTCATTGCAGTCTGAACACGTGAAGGCCGACTTCTGGTTCACTGCACGAGAGGAATCTCTCGAAGCTCCAGCATAGCACGCGACCGAGATTCGGGTCAATTGCAGGCCTTCTGGTTTCAGGTTCATACACGGCGCCAAGGTTCAAGTATTTGTGCTGTGTGCGCATGTGCAGCCGCAGCGCGCGCACGGGCATCGGATGGGATGCTTTTAAGACGGCTTTGGCTTGTTTGAGGTCATTGCTTACTTGATGCTAGCCAAGAGCAAGAGTTACGACGAGGCCAAAAAGCTGCTTGGACTTTCAATATGTTTGGCCGGTGTTGCTTGGCTTTATCAGTCTGGCATCGCTAGATGCCACTGGGACGACAGGAGCAACTGCTACTATGACAGATGTTACTGCCACCACCGCAACGACGACGATTGCCATTACCACTACTGCTGGCAACCACCGACTTGGACGACGACTCCTACTGCTGCTTGCTACTGCTACTGCAACGTACCGCAACCACTACTACTACTACTACTACTACTACTACTACTACTACTACTACTACTACTACTACTACTACTACTGCTCCTACTGCTACTACTAGTACTACGACGATTAATTCTACGACTGCTGCGACCACGACTACGACTGCCGCTACTACTACTACTACTACTACTACTACTACTACTACTACTACTACTACTACTACTACTACTACTTCTACTACTACTTCTTCTACTACTACTACTACTACTAATGGTATGATGATGGACACCAGGAATAGCAATGTTCACAGCGACAATAATAACCAGACGAAAAGGTTCAATAGCTCGTTCGCTTTTGCCAGAAGTGTTACAATGCTTGCCGGTTCGCGTATGTTCGCGTTGGAATGGGAACAAGAACACTAGCCCGTGTGCTAACAATGACAATAGGCACAACATGAACCCAATACGAGTAGCGGCAGCAATTGCGACAGCAATATAGTGCTTCGCCACTTGATGGTCGACGAGTAGTATAAGCACTTGAGGGCCACGCACATACCGTAGAGCCAGGATGCTTTTGCGGTAAGCTCAGGATGTCAGCAGAAATTTATGTGTCAGCCTGATGCACCAGTGTCTGTTCGACAAAGCCACATCAGAATCAGCCCCGGGTCTACATTGATCAAAGCCTAATGCTGCAAGGAAGATTGCCTCGCAGCAGTCGCTTTCCAGGACTTCCTCAAAGTACGAAGCCTAAAACTGAATCTTTAGAGGCATAACCGTTTCCGGGCTCCAGGCCAACACAGTCAGCAGTAAGTTTCGTCAAAACCCCCAGGCAAGTGCAGCTGAAGCGCAGCGTGGCCCATCCTAATCTGGGATTCCAAGTGTCTCGGCATGTCTTCAATGTTGGGAATCACTCTTTGCACTGACCTTAGCATGGCTGCTCCAAGGTGCTGGAGCTGCCGGATTAGGTTTGAGCACAACTTCTCGAGCTTCAGGGTATTAGGGGTTGTTAGGCTTGGACACTAGGGCATTGGATAAGGATTCAGGGTTTCATAGTCGCTTGCTATTGAATTAGCTGTGCTACTGCCCTACATATCCCAAGCCTCGCCCTCAGCCGGGTTGCATAAACAACAGTTGTTAGATTGTTCGAATTATAGTGGTTAGGGTGTTAGGGTTGCTACCATGGGACTGTAGTCAAGGCATTCAAGGCTTGTTCAGCCTTCTTCGGCACCGGCGGCCAACAGACAGCACACACTTTTGTCAGGTCCAGCTGCAGCACCTCGAGACTGTCGGCTGCATTGGGACATGAGAGTTTCAGAGTGGCGGGATGCCTCTCTGGCGTGGTCTCTTTGGTGTTTTGTTTGGCGCTTCGGGCGAATCTTGTCAGTTCCATCAGGGTTTTACAGGTGTTGTCGGTGTGGTGTTTCGGTCTGAACTCGGGAAATCACCGCAAGCTGATGGTTGACCGGGACAGAAATGGCATGACCTTTTACAGAGGGATAACACTGATCTAATCGAAGACTGCCCCTCAATTTTTTCGATTCTGCTACTGTAAAGCCAACCCAGTCCTGAACCCGCCAAGCGCAAACCACGCTATCCGGAAGCGGTTCCTTTTTATTCCTGTTGACATTTGGGGCAGGATGGGGAACCCGAAACCCCAGGTACATCCAAACCCTCCCCAACTGCAGAGAACTGTCGATGAAGGTCGCTGCTGGGCACCCGGTCGCCACCTCGAAACTTCGAGGAAGGGCCGGGTAAGAAGGGCCGGAAGCTTCATGGGTGGAGGCATTTGGGGTTTGGAGCACCTTGACTGGGTTCGACCAAAAGCAGCTATGCCTTAATTGCTTTTATCCGGAGTTCTCGCTGCCCATGAACCTGCAAGTTGGCATTGTGGGCCCTTGGTTCTATCAAATACACGTGTTGATCGACAACATGAGCCTTTCTGTGGTATGTTGCTCAGCGTTGCTTATGCTGGCACATAGAGGCTAGTTAGGACTCCAGGTAGCTCGCAAAGTGTTGTGCTGATTTCGGTCATAGAGAGGGCCGCCGACGGGTAAACGATGCAAATAATTAACAAGAATGCACAGAAACTGTCTTCGGCTCAGAAGCAGTCCTGCGATGTTACGGACACTGGAATTTCGAAGATGGCCAGGATCTTGCTCCTATCAACCGTTTAATGCCTCTAGGCCCAGAGCCGTAAAGTGCAGGAGCGGCTGCGCTGGCTCGGGACCACCGTTCCCACAGGGGACCTGACATCCTCAACTTCGCCGTTTAAGCTGCTCCAGGCATCACCGGGCCTCCGCGAGCTTCAAGAGTTGTCGTGGGCATTTACACAGAAAGTTAGAGGGCTCTCAAGAGATGCAAGGATTTTCCCAACCTCGACTCTTTGAAGTATCTTTGCCATCTAACTATGCGATTTCCAGCTCCAAAACTTGGGTGAGTAGTCGTCGAGGCGTTGGATGCGCCGATTCGTTGCTGGCTGGAAGAGGCCGATATGCTGCCACGATAGGGGCCTTGAACACGGCTTTTCAGCTGTACACAGTGTCTTGAAATGCTTAGGCTGGGCATTGAGGAAGCCACAATAATTCCGTGGCAGATGTTCGTCGGGGAAATCATGGTGACCTTTCCTTCCGAAAAACAAGCCTGCTGCAACTAGCGTGCAAGGGGTGCCCAAAGAGTCCCACAGCTCCTCATGAAGATGAATGTGTGTTCCGCTTTTAGTTCTCATTGCATACGCTCCCCGAGCATGTACAATGATACCGCTGCTTCGACATGGCTTGGCATGCATCCTTATTCAGGTTGATGATTTGTTTCATGCATGCTGGTTTCTGCGTGTAGTAGGCTTAGGAGATTCAATCGGGCTATTGTTGTCCTGCAACAGGTATCGGTGCTTTGCGAGAAGCTCCTTGGACTATCCGAAACCAGCTGAAAAACCTGGCTTCAAGCTTTAAGCGCCAGGCAGTGCACATATGAACAGACGCAAGTTCGGCCGATTCTCGCGCTAGCTTGCCGGATCTTCCTTTCAGGAGTTAGGCGCTGTAGCCCCACTCCGGGCTTCAGGCTGGGTGTCCTGCATGCAACCGAAGCATGCGAGAGCAAACCAACTAAGTCTCAATTCCAAAACTCTCTAATGCAACCTTTCAGGTGGTTCTAGAAATAATGGAGAGGGAGAGGTATGCGCTACCCTCGGTTTGTTCCGGGTCTGCGACAGTCAATCTTGAGAAGGTCCGAGCTGGTCCTTTGAGCATATGCACCAGCTACGTGTATATCAGGTCCTCACTTTACAAGGTTGCCATAGAGCTGAGAACAGCCAGGCCAGGCTCATGCAGGCAAGACAACGAATCAAACTTGCTCCCATGCGGTAACAGCATGCAGGACCCTGTGGGGAGCGAGAGAGAGAGAGCTCTTTGCGACGGTAGAACAATGCCGGTTATGCTGTATCCAGGAGGGTCGTAGCAACATCGTAGGGATGATTATACATGCATATACATGCGCGAGTGTACATATACATACATCATACATACATACTTTCATGCAACTAAAGACGTCTACGTGTTCGTTGTGTTTGTGCGTGCCGTATTTTTTGCTTATCATCCAGAGGTATGTGCTGTACTCCAGGCGAAAGAATCTGTAGACCTGAGCCCAAGACCCTGTCCACCAAAGTGTGAGAGTCGGAAACCTCAGCCCTATACACCCGTCCGGATATCCTTCTAAAGACCAAACCCTGCTTTAAAAAAACAAAAACCGTCAAACCCGCAACAGCTGAGGCTTCTGACCGAGCCTCAAATGGCTCGCGAGAGGGCTCCGTGGAAGCCTTGTGGGCTTTTCTTCGAGGCGACCACCCCTGGGTAGGAACATCCATCTCTGCACATTTATAGCATGCTGTCATACGCTGTCTCTCAGTTTGCGAAGAAACCCAAAGTCCACTGCCGCACTGTGCCCATTTAGGCCCTGACCAGTTGCATCGTCGCTCATCGCCCCTTTGAGTTGAACATCGCGCCACGATGAGCGCCCAGGAAGATGTGAAGACTCCAGTGCCACCGAGGTTCATGGTGCTCCTGGCCGACTGGTGCAATGTGTGGGCAGGTATCACCTTGGTCGTTTCCTTCTGCCTCATTACGGGTGCATTTACCTTCAATTGGTTCGAGATGTCTGGTGCCGTCCACACCATCATGCAGGTGACCATGTGTGCCGAGGGTGTCCTTTGGGCGGTGGCTGCAGGCCTCTTGACGAAGATCAACATCATGGTGAACAATGCATCGCTGGCTGTTGTGCAGACGATCATTTGCTTCGGTGGCATTTTCTTTGCTGTGTCCGGTCTGTATGACGGAGTGCCCGGGAAAGTTATCAGCATCCACTACATTCTGGCGCCTGACACCAATGCGCTTTTTGCCGATGCTTGTCCCTATTACGGAATCACGTGCTTCATGGTTGCCACGTCCATGGGCTTGAACGGCGTCCGGGGCCTTCCGAAGAACAAGTTCGTCAGCCCTTTCTGGGCTGTGGCGTGCTTCTTTATCGGTGCTTGGACCATCGGTGTCATCGGGTTGTGGGGCCCGACACTGATTGGTGGCTTGGTGAGGTACGAGGACTTCGAGGAACCAACCGACCTGTACAAGCAGAAGACGTTTGCCTGGGCCTGGATCCACATCTTCCAGGTCATTGGTGCCATCTTTCTGACTCTCGGTGGCATCATCTTTGGTCTGATGGACAACATCTTCTCCTTTGGCTCCAGCGCTCAGGAGAAGAAGTTTAGCGATGAAGTCTCCGAAAGCAGCAGCAATTTTGCCTGAATTCGCGCCTAGACTTTCCTGCAGAAGCACACAGCTCTGCATGCGAGAGTAAGAATCTCACGGGAGAGCCCATACCTGCCGCTATCTAAAACCAGTGTTCTGACATCTGAAGTCTGACCTCAGAAGGCTGTAGCCTAAACGTGAAAGTCGACATGATCTGACGGTGGAACCTGGCAGTGGAAGCATCGATTGCAGGTTTTTTGACCTCCCTGTAATCTGACGGAAGCCACAAGTGCTGCGACTGCTTAAAGGATCGTTGAGATCCACTGTCTTTTCGAAATCCCACTGCTTAGCATGCCGCCCCGTGCTTGCTGCTCTTGACATTTTCGGCGCAACATCCAAATTGCTTGTGTGATTCCATTGGCTTATTACTTGCACATGCAACAAGCTTACTCTTTTGGTGCTGATTGGATCAAGATGCAAGCCAGGTGCAAGGGCTGCAGCAGGTCTGCAAGAATCCAGATTCGCAGGCCAGTCTTTTCCAAGACCTCCCAGTGAGTGTCGCACTGCGGCGCATCCATGCATAGAACCAGCACGACCCATTGGGAAAGGTCGGCAGTAGTGGGATCACGACCGGGAGCAGCAAAAAGACGAAAAATGGGCCAGACAAGATGTGCGAGAGGGTGCTTGCTACAGAGGATGCCAGCTTTGAAGACGCAGGGCGCTGCAAACGGGACCTATACGTACTTGTAGTATGGTAGTAGCAGCCGTCCTGACAGCATGCAGGCCCCTTCTCGAATTGCGTTTGTTAGACTGCCCCGTTATATAGGATCCCCGCTTCCGAGAAGCCTTGCCCCAAATCCGTTCTGTAGCCATTTATAGGCCCTGACCAGTTGCATCGTCGCTCATCGCCCCTTTGAGTTGAACATCGCGCCACGATGAGCGCCCAGGAAGATGTGAAGACTCCAGTGCCACCGAGGTTCATGGTGCTCCTGGCCGACTGGTGCAATGTGTGGGCAGGTATCACCTTGGTCGTTTCCTTCTGCCTCATTACGGGTGCATTTACCTTCAATTGGTTCGAGATGTCTGGTGCCGTCCACACCATCATGCAGGTGACCATGTGTGCCGAGGGTGTCCTTTGGGCGGTGGCTGCAGGCCTCTTGACGAAGATCAACATCATGGTGAACAATGCATCGCTGGCTGTTGTGCAGACGATCATTTGCTTCGGTGGCATTTTCTTTGCTGTGTCCGGTCTGTATGACGGAGTGCCCGGGAAAGTTATCAGCATCCACTACATTCTGGCGCCTGACACCAATGCGCTTTTTGCCGATGCTTGTCCCTATTACGGAATCACGTGCTTCATGGTTGCCACGTCCATGGGCTTGAACGGCGTCCGGGGCCTTCCGAAGAACAAGTTCGTCAGCCCTTTCTGGGCTGTGGCGTGCTTCTTTATCGGTGCTTGGACCATCGGTGTCATCGGGTTGTGGGGCCCGACACTGATTGGTGGCTTGGTGAGGTACGAGGACTTCGAGGCACCAACCGACCTGTACAAGCAGAAGACGTTTGCCTGGGCCTGGATCCACATCTTCCAGGTCATTGGTGCCATCTTTCTGACTCTCGGTGGCATCATCTTTGGTCTGATGGACAACATCTTCTCCTTTGGCTCCAGCGCTCAGGAGAAGAAGTTTAGCGATGAAGTCTCCGAGAGCAGCAGCAATTTTGCCTGAATTCGCGACTAGACTTTCCTGCAGAAGCACACAGCTCTGCATGCGAGAGTAAGAATCTCACGGGAGCGCCCACACCTGCCGTCACCTAATTCAGGCATTTTTGATCTTCCTGTAAAGCCAAAAGGGCTGCAACTGCTTAAGATCGTAAGATCCCCCAGCCTTTTCGACATCCCACTGCTTAGTGCATGCAGCCCCACGTTTGCTGCTCTTGACATTTTCGGCACATCCTGCACATTGCTTGTGATTTCATTGCCTGATATTACTTTCCCTTTAATTAAGGGCAAGGTTACTCTTTTGGTGCTGATTGGATCAAGACGAGGGGCACGTGCAAGGGCTGCAGCAGGTCTGTAAGAATCCGCGTTCGCAGGCCGGTCTTTTCCAAGACCTCCCAGTGAATGCCTGGTTGCAGCCTTCACGCATCGATATCGTTAGTGCAATGGGCCAGCGCGATTCACTGGGAAAGGTCGACCATAGTGGGATCGCGAAAACGAGCAACAAAAAGGTGCTGTAGGCAAGGCCAGACGTACAAGATGGAAACTTCCGTCGGGGATGCCTGGCATTGGTCAACTTTGAGGTAGTGTGTTTGCTTCCGCACATCTGTTTCGAGCTCTTTGAAGTAGTGGAAGACGAGGCAAAGGTTGGAGAGGTTGAGCATAGCTTCTCGGTCAGACATGTGCAGCGTCTGGCCGAAAGCCTGCGTCTTGCGCAAGAGGTGCTGCAGAAGTATCGGACCGTTCCCGAGGAGCTCAGAAACGTTGGCACGCATGCTTTGATCATTACTAGTTCTTCGGGTTAGTGTTCACATGTTTACAGGCTAACTTTATTGTTGATTTTCAATTGTGTCTGTTTTGGCTGGTTGCTCTTGTCGTGATGTTGATGAAATAATAAAGTCGTCTGTTGCCACAATCGTCTTGACCGACCAGCTTGTTTTTGCCCGCCTGCGATTTGTCGACCCCATTTGTTCGGGCTGCGAGCCTAAAAGCGAAGTCCGTCCTAGCCAAGTCCCGCTATGGAGGACGAATCCCTGGCAGACTTGGCAGCATCCGCTGCAAGGAATCTCGAGGACTCTCCTTACTTTTTCAGCATTCAATCGTTTCAATGTCATGTACTCAGCCATTTAGGAGGCAAAGAATGTCAGAAACTTATATTTATAGTTGTCCCCAACCTTTAACACTAACTTGCGTTATCTTCCAGCGGTTCTTTGGGGTTCATTCTGCCACCGCCATCCTGGGCCATCCTTGGCTGCTGCTTTCAGCCTCTTTAACTTTGCAACAATATGTGGCAACTTGGGAACCGAATGTCCGCGATTGCGATGGAATGTGATGGGTACTAGCGAACGATGCCCACACGACCGAACCGAACGGAATATGCAAGGTTCAGACTGCAACCTATGCGATTACAGAATCCTTAACCCCACTACCTAAATTTGAAGAAACTCCAACTGTGATGCCCTGATAGGATCCTTAAGCTGCGAGTCTCGAAGATCAACATCTCAAACGAAGGAGTCTGTGAAGCAGTTCCACGACTCCTCCAACTCTCTGATCGGCTTGAAAACGGCCATGGCAGTGGCACGGGAGGCGAGAAAGGGGAGATGGGACTCAATCGGATGGGACATGCAGGAGCGTGCCCAGTCCTATGGTCGTGTGGTGTGAGTGCGGCCTGCGAGCAAACATCTGCACACATGTATGCTTGAAGAAGCCTGTCAAACCTCGTCTGACTTGTCGAGCGCAGCACGAGTGACAAAAAATGTGTGTAAGCATGTACCTATGCATGCATGTAGGCCTGTGAATGTTCATGTATGTAATGTCAAGTAATGTCATTAACGTAATGATAGAGCGTAGTGTAGCGTAGTGTATGTCATAGTGTATGTATGTTCTTACGTGGGTATGTATGTATGTATGTATGTATGTATGTATGTATGTGCGGATGTATGTGTTATTAATGCGAGGTAATGTATTTAATTAATTACTTAGGTATGTATGTGCGTATGGGGCATGCATCTATGTACGAATACCGATTATCGTAGGTAGATAGGTAGGTAAGCAGGTAGGCAGGTAGGCAGGTAGCTCTGTAATTTTCGTTGGTTGCTGAGATACTTCTGGTGATTTGGCGATGTTTCAGTATGTTCGTATCGCTTGCGCTCCTCATGCATTCGCAACGTGTAGCAAGTAGTCGATGTGCATGTACAGGACGAGCACACATACCATTAGACTAACCACCTCGAACTTTTCCATGCCCATATTTGCAGTTTTGAAGAACGGGCATATCTCATGTCGTGGCTCATGGTTTTATGTATAGGCCATATCTCGAGATCCACAATCGGTTGCAGTGATACATCTGTACCTACACTTCTCAGTAAGAACGGTAGTTCTATTGTCTGCCTACCTGTAGAATTGTGCTTTAAGATTTCGCATGAGACATTGTAAGACTAAGCAGCCGACAGAGCTCGGATTTCTGCTCATCATTCGTGTCCTGATTGTGACTGGTTGCATATGTCTGCTCAGTGTCGGCTTGAGCAAGGAGCCAAGAAATAGAAGGAGATGCGAGTATACTTGCATACCACCGCTATAGAGTAGCTTCGCAGTCTACCACTCAACAGAGCCTCCGATCTATATTTGTTGTACTCAAGCTTCACATCCTAGGGGTTCTTGCACTCAGACTCGCGAGGGGACTCCGAGATAGTGACGGGTCCGAGGAACTTCCACAGCAGAATCAAGGCGCAGTAGATGCCCGGTCGGAGCCAGCTCCAGCCATCTATCCTTGCAAGCTTCTGCCTTCTGAGCCCCACATTTTGTCACTTCATTCAGATGAAGAGGTGCACACCTGGCACCGCATCGCTCGGGCAGAGTTTGCTCAGCGTCGAGCATCCGGGCATGCCACCCACACCGCCTGGCCCGAGGCATCCTTGTGTCTTTGGCCAAGGGCTCACATGCAAGTGCTTTTTGGAAGGATGAGGTAGGCCCCATAAGAATTTATGAGAAGATACGGCCAGTGCCGGTTTAGGGGTAGAGCGACGTTCAAACTTGGAAGGGGCATTGCCTTCAAGCTATAATGTAACAAAGAATGCAGGGAGAGCGCCAGCAGCTGAATCTGGCATGTTTAAAAATACCAGGAGACACGTCGCGATGCGAGTGTAGCATGAAAGCAATGGAACATCAAGGATACAGACATGGATCGGCAAAACATGCACTGCTTGAGTATCACACATTTATAATCATTCTCCGAGTTCTGGAACAATGCCGTGGTAGAGCCAGAACGATCTACTGCTTGCGACCTTTCGATGCGGGAGCCGAAAAGGCAAGATTAAGGCCTTCGTAGCCCTGGAGAGTCCGATTTTTTGCGTGACGCGACCAAAATCTGGAACTCCCTCAAGCCTGGCAGTACTGAGAGGTTTCGTGGGATTCTCAGGTATTTTTACAACCGCCCGCGCGAAATGGACTTCTGTGCTGCAGACCAAATAAAAGGGGGGGGGAACTTTGGAGCTCACAAAACAGGCTGCGCCGGCCGAGGGCCTGGTCGCTTATGCGTCGGACTCCTCCAGCGACGCGGCCAGAAAGGGCTGAGGAGGTTAGGGTTTAGGTTTGGTTGCGTGGCTTTGCAGGTCCCCCCTTGTACAACGCTCGGATCAGCTTTGCTGCCCCGGGCCTTGAAGATGTACATGCGCTGTGTGAAGAGCAGTTCGTGTTACTGTTTCATCTCCAGTAAGTTGCTGCGAGGATGCGGCATTGTGCCGTTGGTCGTCGATTTGTCATTCACTGAAACCGGGCTTGTTTGTGAAAGTTCGCTTTCCATTGGGTGCAGGGGTAGAAGAAGCGGGGAAGGATCAGACGAGTGTTTCTGCTTGCCACAGGAGTCCGCACGAGACATCGCACTATCAGGAGTGTTATTATCTTACTAGGGTTTTAAAGTCCAGAGGTATCATGATGCAAACAAGTGAAACAAAGGTAGCGTTGTTCCCGAAACACCCCGACGAATTACCCACTACAAACCCTAAGATCAAGATCGGAGCCGAGCAAGTTCGTTTTCATGGCCCATCCAAGGCGAGGAGGCAGTGAGCAAGCATAAGAAGCCGCGCACCACCGAGCGATGAAGGGTCTGGAGTGTTGAAGACGGAGACTTAGGATACAAAGCATGAGGTGTTGTGGATCTGCAGTTCGAAACACAGAAGACAGAAAGTTCATCGGTTGCGTGTAGGTCTAATCTGCTCGCCAATGGGCAGAAAAAGCCTGCCCTGCTTGCGCGTGTGTGGGAGGGAGACTTAGGGGATCCTTCGACATAGGGAATTCTGTGCATCTGGACTTCTAAACATGGATTACGAGGCTTCTTATGCCTTCCGGCGTCCTCAGGCATAGGGGCCCCACAGTTCGGCCACCACGAACCTCAGCTCTGATCGGCGAGAGCAGGATGTCTAGTACAAACATGACGTGTTTACGGATCGTATTGCTTTGAGACAGGAGGGCAGTAAACTGGAGCCCCACAGCCGCATAAGTTAAAAGGACCTCGAAAGAAGCCATCCGGCTGATGCTTGGAATGTGCCATGAATGAAATACTGCGAGCATGCAGGATTTCCGGTAGCAAGCGTCTCAACCGTCTCATACATGGACAGCCACATATTATCCTTGGGTACATGTAGCTGCTTCTCTTGGTCATATTTGAGGCTAAGATAAGAGGAAATATAAATTTCGTTTGCACCCCATTTCCTTCAGCAGTTCCAACTGATGGAGCCTGACTCCTGAAATCTGTGAATAGCTACGTTCCTGAAATCCAAGAACACAAATCAATCCACCAAGAACGGCTGTTGCAGTTATGGAAGGACTGGAGGATGACCTTGAAACCAGTGCCAGACTATCGTGGTAGATAATTCTCCGACACAAAAAACAAAGGTAGATATGAGAGTTGTGAGAGTATAAAGATAGATACGAAACCTCGCCATACAGATACTTATAGCCGAAATCGGTTTTCGACATTCCAAGCCCCAGCGAAGTATTCTCAGGAATCGACGCGCGGGAGCGGCAGTACAACCTGTGCCCTGGCTGCATGCTTCAGAGTTTATGACGGCTGACAGGCTATGCCATGCATTGTGGAGAAGTGCTGTTGATGAAGGGTCGGATTTTCACAAGTTCTAAACCCTCCGAGGCATAAGCCTCACCTGGCACTGTCGTACACACTACCAGCCGTTAAGCTTAAGCGGTCATCAATGAACACATTCGCCACAGGACGGCCGACTCCATTCTCTCGGATTGGCAGAGGCCCGGGTCGGGCTGAGACTTTTGAAGCGATCATTGCATGTACATGTTGATATGGTCGTGGTTTCGAAACTATCATAGCTCCGACAAGTGCGGGGGTATCACTCCTGTTGTTGCTGGAATTAATGACAGGCCAAAGGTTGGTTTAGAGTTGTCCTCGTTACTAGGTAGGTCCTTGTGCAACTAGGCCAGCTGCGTGGATTAACTGGATAAACTGCTAGCTGCATGGATTAACTTCTTGCTGGCCTCAGTGTTACCATCGGCACTAGCAACTGGTAAGGGGATGCATGTGGTATAGTGCCGGAAGGAGGATGCACAGCAGGAAGCATAGACAAGGTCATAGATAACAGTGGTGCTGGTGGTGGTGGTGGTGGTGGTGGTGGTGGTGGTGGTGGTGGTGGTGGTGGTGGTGGTGGTAGTGGTGGTGATGGTGGTCGTGGTAGCAGTTGTTGTGTTGCTTCTTTGAAGTGCCGTTGCTGCTACTTCTCTTTCTTACTAGTACTCGTCGTCGTTGTCGTCGTATAGTCATATAGTACTACTGGATAGTAGTGGTAGTAAGGTAGTAGTAGCAGCAGCAGTAGCAGTAGCAGTAAGTAGCAGTAGTAGCAGTAGTAGCAGTAGCAGTAGCAGTAGCAGTAGCAGTAGCAGTAGCAGCAGCAGTAGCAGTAGTAGTAGTAGTAGTAGTAGTAGTAGTAGTAGCAGTAGTAGCAGTAGTAGTAGTAGTAGTAGCAACAGCAGCAGCAGCAGTAGCAGTAAGTATAAGTAGTAGTAGTAGTAGTAGTAGTAGTAGTAGTAGTAGTAGTAGTAGCAGTAGTAGTAGTAGCAGCAGCAGCAGTAGTAGTATAGTAGGAGGAGGAGGAGACGTCAGTGCAGCGGTGTTGGTACAGAACAGTTTGAAAACCTCTAAACTTGTGAAACCCGTCAAACCGGTCGCAGGTGTAACCTGTGGACCCGAAGGCCGGCACATTGGGCGTTGGTGTTTTCGCTTTGGCAGTTCGTTGGCGTGGGAGACAGTGCGACAGCTTTTCAACTCATAAGCTTGAGGGCCATAAAGGGTGCCAGAGTCGAGAATGTAGAGCTGGGTAGGGCTTCGTGGTCGAAGAGGCTTCGCGCTGAACGGTGGTAAGGCTAGTCTATATAGTCTCAAGCCAATGACAACTACTACGAAGACCCTCCTAAACGACTTTCGTCGCGTGCGGCCTGCAAAGGAAGCTACTTTGTGCTTTCAGTTTCATAAACCAATAGACCTTCGAATGTACATAAACACACCATACATTGGCAGGTGTTTGTACATGAACTGAAGCAAGTCAGAGATTGCGTTTACATACACCTGTATGTGTATGTGTATATATATATATGTACATATGTATGTATGCATGTAGGTAATTGTGTGTGCCTTAATGTTTGTGTGATGCATGTATGCATGTATGCATGTAATGGTTTATGTATGTATGTTTGTATGTATGTATGTATGTATGTATTTGCATGTATGTATGAACGTATGTATGTATGTATGTATGTATGTATGTACATGTGCACATATGTATATATATATATATACATATGTATATATAGATACACATGTATATACATATATTTGTATATGCGCACACACATACTTGTACATATACATAGTTTTTATAGATGTATATATGTATACTCATGTCAGACTTATGTTCATATTCTTATATTTACTGAGAGAGACGTGCTTGTGTATGCACATACGTACATTTGTTGGTGTGCGCTCCAAAAGCTGTTAAGAGCCTTTCAGATTTCAGATGCTTGCGATTCTTGGGTTGTTGCCCTGCGCATTGTTTTCCGGAGGCGAACCTTCAAGATCAAGGAAGCCATTTTTCCGACTGCCTGGCCCCTACCAAGGTGCTGTGTTTTTGGGGTTCGGTTCCAGCCACAACCGAAACGGCCACAGATTCGAACATCATCATGTTGGGTTCCAGAAAGCATGCGACGGCAGGAATAGGGTTGGGAACCACCGGCCGATAACATCTCCAAACCCTAGGAAAAACTTTGAAACATCTTAAAACCGCTCTAGATCTTACAGGCTACAACCCTGAAAGCCAACGAAGCGGTTCTGGCTTAAGCCCCTGTTTAGTTACCAGGTACGAGAGTTGGGGGACATGGCCTTGGCCAGCCACCTCCGTCACAGGTGACTTCAGATACTGCTGCAGGGCTTTTAGGGTTGAGGGCTTTTCTGGTTTGGAGCTTCCAGCCAGAAACTCTAAAGGAGCAGAAGTAGGCCACTCATTCGAAGGGTCCCCAATTTTTCTTGGAGCCTAGCTCCCTGACATGGGTGTTGTAGTTCCGGTGCTGGACCTGTCGTTGTCGTCGTTGTTGTAGTTGTGAACTTGTGAATAGTCGGCATTGGGGGTATTGTGCGGATGACGACGGGAATTGCAGGCTCGTAGCTGCGGAGTTAGGTCGCAGTGTGTCAAATTCAGGCTTAGGCCTTTGGTTTATAGGCTTGGCAGATAGCTCCTGGGCAGCTGGAGCAGGATAGCCTTTCCAAAGCTGCGTGTCTGCTGGGCTATTGACGGAGAAGAGCTGGCTACATTTTCTGTGACTTTTTCGACGCTGCTCCCTCCTTTCCCTTCAGCCGTTAGAGGCTCGACGCATCTAGATCCTTGGCATCTCCGTGGCCTTGAACAATCATCCAATCCATCCTGCCCGACAACAAGTGTCCATGACACCATGAGCCCAAGGCGCGAACTCAAAACCCAGAACCCAAGATCCGCCACAACGCTCAGAACCTCCCCCGAAAGCAATACAAAAGGCCGGAGGAAAGCCCAGGAATCCCAAAGGAGACACCGCCACCACCCTGAAGGGGCCGAGGCCCGGAGATCAGTCAGTGGTCTGTTGTGGTGCAGTTTATTCCTTTGTTTGTTCAATTTGACAGATGTATATATATATATATGTATATATATATATATATATATATATATATATAAATATAATATTATATATATATATAGACATATATATATATATATATATATACACATGCATTTACATACATATGTATGTTTTGCAGGACAGAGGCAGGCTCACTCTGTGTGTGGGAGCTTGTATTCACGGGCATGTGCGTGTGCATAATATGTCGTTATCTATCTATCTATCTATCTATCTATGTATATATACAGTTAGATGATAGATCGATAGATCGATAGGGCGATAGGTCGATAGATAGACAGGTGAGTATGGGTATATACATGTACACATATACACACACACATATATATATATATATATATATATGTGTGCGTGTATGTATGCATATATATATATATATTCATATAGATAGA